CCAGGAGCCGAATAGCATCGAGTCGCTTCTGAACACGTCCCAGATGGCGCTGAGCTCTCGCTCTCTCATGGCAAGGATCCGGCCCTCCCACTGTCGCTCCAGTGCGGAGAACTTGATCTGACGCATGCCCTGCAAGCTTTCGTTGACGAGGGTCAGCTTCTGATCCCTAATTTTCATGAGACGGTCCTGCGCGTTGGAGTACACCTTGGTGTAGTAGATGTTGAACGGCAAGATGACGGCCCAAGTGGCGAGACCGGAGAGCAAAGGGATCCAGCCTAGCAGGGAAACGAGGAACCAAATGGCGAAAGCCAGCTTTGTAGCACTTGCAGGGAAAAAGAATTGGAAAGCGGCAAAGTCGGCCACTCGCTTGGTGTCAACACCGATCAGATTGACGACACCCTGCTGAGATTTGAGGGCATCGGCATCCGATTCCTCTTCCTCATCCTGGCCGTCTTTCTTGGTGTCGTCGTCATTGGTGCTGACTTTCAAGGCGTCCGTCTTGCTGGCTTGTTTGACATTCTTGCGACGCATAGCCTTCTCGACAATCAGGGCAGAAAGCAGTCCGCGCAGGGGGATGCACACATCGGACCAGGAGATCCAGAACAAACAGGCCGAGAACCAGGCGTCGGCCAGAACGGTCAGGCCAAGCCAGAAAACCATGATCCAGGTCTCGACGCTGAGCTTCTCTCCTGGCTGTCTCGCCTCGAGTGCCCGAAGGATGCGAAGGGTGACCCAGTAAGGAGCAAAGCTGACGACGTTCCTGAAGATGGCGAGAAGCCACTGAATGAGGAGGGGCCAGCGGAACGCCCAGATGACGTTCTTCCAGAGAGGGCCCTTGAAGTTGTATGCCTTCCACTGCGCAGATTGGTCCCTGGCACGCGTCTTGTGGTCGGGCCGGGGAAGGTCAGCGACCTCGAGGTCCTTCTTGGCTGTCGCTTGTTTGAGGACACCGGTACACCAGCTCCAGGTGAAGCGGCTATATGCGGATACGGTGTGCATGCGGTCGACAATCTTGCCATCTACAAAAACATCAGGCCTGCGTTGCATGGTGATGCTGGCTGTAGTGAGACCCAGAGCCGCGACGAGATTGACGATACGGAGCGCGAAGGACGCATTGTCACTGTCAAGAAGCTCTCCCAAAAGACTGGTGTCCTGTACCAGGAGAAGAAGGAGAAGGAGCAAGCTGCTGAGCCAGGTCCAGAGACCGATATTGTAGGCCTGGACAGAATCATTTGTTGCAATGATGCAAACAGTTTGTACAGCAAGCAGAAGCTGTAAATATCGGGTCAATACCATATGCATATGTCTCGATGGTAAGGTGTACTCACCCATGATGCCGTGGTTGTCCAATCTTGCAGGGAAAGACCCTGCCGTGCTTCGGAGCTCGTGGTGGACAGAACGGAGAGCGTTATTGAAGTGGCACAGCCGAGAGCGGCAGAGAAGGCAATGAAGACCTTCGGCCAGCGGTTGGAGAAGGCAGCAACAGCTTCGGGCGTACTCTTGCCATCCTGGTCTGAGTAAAAGTTGTCCTTGGGAGCGCGAGTACGAAGCTGCTTGATGAGGCCTGAGAGGGCGGGGAGCGTGCAGAGGGCGATGAAGGCCAGGATCGCGGCCAGTCCGCCTAGTAACGTCGAGTCGCGAGACATGATGGGGGCCGTAGGTGGAACGGCGCAGGGGGAAGTGTGTCGTGCCGTATCGTATTGCTGTGTCGCAACCCCGTCGTGTTTATGGTCGCCGAGGGAGAAGAAAGGGTCAGGGTACCGTGGTACTTCGTCGTGTTACCAAGAGGTGACTCTGAGAACTGAGTCGAGTTTTGACTCCAAGGATTGGAAGCTGACGTGATGCCGATGAGTCTGCACGCATCCAGCCTCACTTCACCTCCTCACTTGAGCGCGTGTACGAGATACGCGCAAGGTACGGCAGCCACCCTAGTCGCCTGCACTGGGGTCTAAAATGTTCCGTGGAGCCCAAGTCGAAGGTCCAAGATTCGAATCGACGAGTCGGGTGATATTGTACGTCGAATCCAAAGAAAATTCTGGCTTCGTACCGGATTGGATCACTATTAAAGCAAACGAGCAGAGTTTAGAGGGAGGGGATGCTGGGGGACCCGGTCCCTCGTTCAACGACGAAACTTCATCGTCCGCGGTTGTCATCCTTCACGCCGCCGCCGCTTCGGTGAGATGAGTCGAACGTGGGTGAGCATCCACCTGCCTTACCAAGCAGAGGCAAGATGGTCGCCCCCACCAGCAATGTCCCACCATGTTGACCAATGTCGAATGCCAGCGTCTCGATTTTTTTCTCTTCGCCGAATCAATTTGAGGTTAGATCCAGATGCAGATGCTTCAACCTCCCGCCTGGCCTAACCGAAAGCATGCATAGTAGCCTGGTCTGGCGGTGACCACCTTAGCCGTTCCAGCCGTGCAGGTAGCGCGTGCGGGCGAACTGGGAGACAGATGCCAATGGCAGTAGCACATGGAAGGGCGTGAAGATGTCTTCAACGTGTAGTGCGTAGCACCAGTTGCAGTCGACATGCCTAGAGGTTGACACGCCTAGAGGTTGACATGCCAAGCCATCGAATGCTGCTTACTCTTGCGCTGTGTCAATTCCAGGCTCCTTTCTTTTTTTCCTTTCCTCTTTCTCTTTCTCTGTCTCGCTCGGTCGGTGACCACAAACCCCCTCACTTTTCGCTGCACCCTCTTCATTGCATCATCCAAGGGTACATGCACACTCGGGTGGTATCTCTGATCCCTGCCTGATGGGCCGGAGACTTTCCAGTTTCATTTGGCCTCAATCACGCAGACGCTACGGTCGCAAAATGACTAGTACTCCAGTTGTGCCTCCTCCACCCCCCAAACGCCATGCTCTCCCATCCTACAGCTCTCCCACCTGCGATAGACTGACCCTTTCAGTTCCCGCCATTTCTCGCATTCGAGCTGACATTGCTAGCATGGGCGAGCAGGAACTTGCAGCACGTCAGCGTCAACTTGCAGGCCTTGGTCCACCCGTCATCCTGCGCGATTCCCAGCGTGATGCAGACGTCGTGAATCTTGTCGCCCTCAATCTTGTAGGGGAGGCTCAGCGGGTGACCCTCGGCCGACGTCTGACGATGCACGTACGTTCCCAGCTGCCTGACGAGTTCGAGGAACGCGACCATGGCATTGTCAAACTTGCGATGCATGAACGTTAGACCGAGGGGCAGGTCGCCGTTGGAGAAGAGCTCGAGCACGTGCTTCTTCGGCGCCGGCGGAGGTCCGCTTCGGTGCGACCCCAGCCGGCTGCTCGACGGCGACGGGAGCTCGTATCGAATGATCCTGGAGGTACTCCCCATGGGCTGCGGTTCAAAGCCGTCAAACTTATAGCTCAGCTTCTCTGCCACTGTCACGAGCAGCAGGAGCGCATGGCCCCACGCCGCGTTGATCTCAGGCCAATCCACAGCCTTGTTGGATAGGCGGCCCAGTCGTAGCCCGTTGATCGTGGCAAAAGTGCCGTCGTGACTGATGCAAAATGTGTCGTTGTACACGTTGGATCGTTGTAGTTTCTCCAAGAGGCGTGAATCATGGTCGAACTTGGAGTTGATACTGTCTCGTTCGTTTTGAAACTCGGAGAGCTTGGCTGTGAAGGCGTTTCGCTCGCGCCAGAAGTCTTCCTCTTCCCGGTCCAACGCCCGTGCCTCGTCTTCCAGGCCGAGAACCTCCTCGTCTACGGCTGCCTTCTCCTTCTCCAGTTTGAGTAGTTCGGCAGAAGCCTCGGCCTCGGCCTGTCTTGCCTTCTCAAGCGACTGCTGTTGTATCTTGATATCCTCCTCGCTCGGCTGCTGGGCTTGGGCCTGCTTCAGGAAGCCCACATATGCGTCTCTCTCCTTGTTCGCAGCCTCAAGTTTCTTCTGCAGACCCTCCACCAGCATATCAGTACACTCGACGCATACGGGGTGGTCGATATCTGACCGCGCCGATAGTATCTCGTGCAGCTTGTGGATGCGCTCGATCTCGTGTGTCTTGGCCATTTCGCGTGTGCCGTTTATTTCGGTGGGCTTATTCGGTCTTGTTGAGCGTCGGTTTGTGTTGGAGGTCTCGTGGCGAGAGGAAAGAGGTTGGGCGACCTGGGACTCGGTCAGGTAGATGAAGGACATATTTGGATCTCGTTGCGATCCACCGCCGGCGTTGCGCTTAAACATGGCTGGTGCAGCATTCTGGGCAACGCGATCGTAGAGTGCCTTTCTCTGCTGATCTTGTGGTGAAGATGCTTTGGACTCTTGTGACTGCTTAAGTTGCTGCTGCGAGGAGTTGGCTGTCAAAGTCAGATAGGCAGGCAGTCAAGGGTGGTAAGGTCAGTCATGACGAACCCACGAGCAGGTCATAGGCAGCTGGATTGAGCTCGTCGAGCGAGCTGTCAAGCTTGAGGGGTGTGCGGCACTTTTGGCAATACATGATGCGTTTTGAATAGCCTGTACTAATTCAACATGGCTGCAACATGCATGGGTATGTGGCTGTCAATCTCAGTATTACCGTTCGCCAGCGAAAGATTGGTTTGGTTGGTTGTTGGAGGAAGCTTTGGAGTTGAGGTCCAGGGACACTGGTGTGGTTGGACAGGTTCCCCAAGCTGCGTCACACACCCCATCAGCACCCTGCACCAGCAGCACGCGCGGCGGGGCCTTTGGGTAGCCTCCTGTACTACTCGAGGTCCGGCGAACATACGCTATAGTTCCCCACTGGAACGACGGTCGACAGTGTCACCTGCGGGGCACTATTGATCGCGTGGCCCAAGCGTCACATGCAGACGCGTGGGACAGCTCCATCACGCCCACCTTACCCGCGTCAAAGCGCGTCTCAATTAAGCCCCTGGCTCGACGTCGCTCCAGTGACCGAATAGATTCACCTCACAGAGCCTGGATCCGGGCGATACCAGTTGAGGCGGCGCAAAGCAAGTCGTGGGTTCCGTGCCAGATCAAACAGAGGAGGAAATCAAGGCCTGTTCCTCCACAAGGCTCCGTGAGGACCGACATGGAGCCTCCCGTAAAGCGCCAGCGATTAAGCCATACACCAACAAGTCGTCTTCAGCATGAGGACGACGAGCTCGACTTTGAATCCGAGAATGTCGACCATCAACGAGACTCCGGCCTCCAGCTCGCAGAGTCCAGGGCCTTCGCTGCTTACAAGCTCAAGTCGACATTCGAGCACATTTTTGAAAAGTACGAACGAGACTTCACAGGAATTGGAGATGAGATCGACCTACGAACAGGAGAGATCGTTGTCGACAATGGCCACATCCAACGATTGGGCCTAGGCGGCGTGGATAGTTTTCTTGAAGAAGACGAGGGCATGCTTCTGGAAGATGCGTTTGTGACTTCTGATGAAGAAGATCATGGGCAAGCGCAACCTGGCTTCTCTTCAAAGCCACAACCGCGCGACACTTTGCGGCCAGGGGAAGGAGAGGAGTCTCGAGCTTCAGAGCACCGACAACCGCCGCCACTCAGCCCAACCCAAGCGGCTGCCACTTCGGCACTCCAAGGCGGAGAAGGCCCCGAACTGTCAACACCGGGCGGTCTTGGAACTGAGCACAGGCTCTCAAAAGTAGCGTTCTCTCGACATGCCCCTCCACGCTCCTCGCCCTTGTCTCGAGGTGCATGGGGGCCAGACCATGGTGCTACAGATCCGCTTTGGAGGACGCCACGGCTGCCTTCACCGGAGTTTAGCGACAACGTCACGTCCAAATTTCAAGGCATGAGGTACAGTGTCCCTGCCGCCGAGAATGGGGAGTCTATCTGGTCGCTGCCTCCGAGCGATATGGTGTGGCCTCTGAGCCCGTACAAACCTGCTCCATCGCCTTCAAGCCGTCACTGCAAGAGTCCCCGAGGCACTGCTCAGACGGGGCAGCGCAGGCCTTCTCTTGTACCAGCAGATGGGCAGGACGAGGATGAGATTCTTTCTCATGTTGGGACCGGATCGGCGGCTACAAGTCCAAATAAATCAAAAATCTCCCAATCGACACCGAAGAATCAAGAAGTCAATGGGCAAAATCGTGGGGAAACGAAACAGTCGGACGAAAGCAAACACAGTCGTACAGGAAACCCAGCTAAAGAGCGAAAAAAGCCTCCAGGAAAGGCAAAAGGCATCAGACCCGTGGGTCGACCTCGAAGTAAGACTGCAATCCCTGGCGTCAGAATCAGCAGCAGGGCCAACACCACGCCGCTAGATCAAACTTCACAACTTCACGTCGCGCTGGCCACCGCCAAGAGAGGGCCTGGCCGGCCCAGGAAAAACACTTCTCATGAAGCACCGCAACTGATACCGGAGCATACTATCCCTCAGTCGACACTCCCCGTTCAGGTAGACGAGCTACCTCGGAAGTCCAATGTTCAGCAGCTCGTTATCGAGCTTCCCAGGCGACCGGAACCACCGGGGCTAACAGAGGTGGGCGACATAGCCTTTAAAACACCTCCTCGGAGCACCGAGGAGAACACTACGCCTCATATGTCACAGACGAAGGCAAATGCGTCTCCGCCAAGGATAGAGCACGTCGCGTCGAGTATCCCTGACTCTCAAGCGTTGAGCTCCCTGTCCTCTTCAGCCCCCGCAATAGAGCCACCTGCAGAAGCGAAGCCTCGAGAAACGGTTGACAAAGCGTTGACAGAAAGCTACCAAAGAAACGAAGTTGATCCTTCTTACGAGTTCTCCGACGAAGAGAGTGGAATTCCGCTTGCGAAAGGTGTCACTGGAAAGCCTGACGCGCGTTCCCGATCTGTACAAACTTCCGACTCGTCGAATGTGGCACTACCAAGAGAATCAGAAGCTGCAGCTGCATCCGAAAAGACACAGGCGCATGCTGTAGAAGGAGAACAGAGAATGGTTGATTTGCCTACATCAGAGGTTTCTGTGCCTCCAGGTAACCCAAGTAAGGGAGGAGACCGCACCGAAGTCTCGGCTATACAGGAGGACCCGGCCGGAAAGACTGCGACGGCACCTCAGGTCAAGAAGCCAGAATCTGCAGCCCAAGATTTGTCCCCCAACGCGGCAATCGATTTGCCGTCTCAAGTGTCAAACGAGCGTACAAGTCGGTCAACAGAACAGTCAGAGCCTGCAATAGCTGTCGAATCGGCGCCTGACTTACCAACCGACTCTAGCGTTTTGCCACCCTTACAGCAGACTTCAAAGGACGAGCAATCGACGCAGAAGAAAACTTTCCTTGAGGTGCCTGATTCAGATTGCCTTGATGATAACCTGGAATCATCGCTACGGGAGGTATCACAGTCCCTCGCGTCGACTCAGGACAAAGACTTTGCCGTCCAGTCTCCCACGTTGCCGCTAGCTTCTGAAACTATCTGCAGCTCCAAGAAGAAGAAGACGAAGCAGAGGAAGAGAAAGACGAAGACATGCATTCCTGTTTCCGAGAAAGAGCACTCGGCTATCGTACAGCTCTCACAGGCACCACAAGCAGAAGCCGATGTCGTGGGAGCCGACATTCCCAGAAGTTCGCCGCTCGCGTTCGGCAACAAAGAACCCGAGAAGCAGAAGAACAGCACCGGCAGAATCACAGCCCCTCAGGGTCAAATACTGACGCCTCAGAGACCTTCGTCCCGCCGCAGCATCCTCTCCCTCCGCCCTGGAGATGCCGAAGAAGACGAGATCTCATTGATCCTCGATTCCTGGTCTACCCCCAGGACAGGGTCCGCGTTACCCCCTCGGGTGGTGAATTTGTCTTCCATCCGCAAGAGTACACTGGCCAAACTCGCCGGCTCCTCGCCGCTGCGCAGTCGCGGCAGTATCATGTCTCCGACAGGCCTCGTGGCCAGCGGCGGCGGAGGCAGCGGGCTGCGCTTCCGCACGGCCCGGGAAGGCTTTGGCGGGATGAGCACGCCGACGAAGAGGAAGCGGCTTGCGTCTCCAGGAAGCCAAGCGGGATCGCTTATTCGGACGCCTGGTGGACAGTTGCGCAGGTGCGGCGTGGATGGTTTCAGCTGTGACAGGGACTTCTGCTTCACCTGCCTCCAAGGATAGACTGTTCAATATACAGACCACATACAATTCGATTAAATACACCAGAGTCAGAGCGTCTCGTCTTATCATGTTCGCTGCAGCCCTCGGAGCGACTGTCACGGACGGTGAACAAACATATTCTGACACGCACAGATTAAATCGCTGTTTCGTTGGAATACCATACACCTGCAATGGAAAAACGCAACTAGGGGAAACCAAAGAGACGTGCCATCTGTGCAGCATGTCCTTCTTTTCCCAAGCCCCTCCTCTTGTCATGCCTCCTGAGAAAATCAAACGACAACGCCGCTATCCGCCCTAAACCAACATAGTCCTCCCTCGCATTGCCATGCCGTAGTCCGTCCGACCGTAGCCGCTGTGTACTCCCCTCGAAGCACCCCTCCTTTCCCATGTCTGAATTATGCATGAGCTTCCTGACGCTGACAAAGAACCGAAGAGAGACGAGTGGCGCGTCCGTCCAGATGGACAGAAGGGGTCCGTTTAGAGATGATTTGTAACCCAGTGTCGTCGAAAGTCGGAGATGAGGAGACAAGTGGGGTGAGAGTCGGTACATCTGTACGTCGAGTTTGAGATTCAAAGGTCCCTCAGCGCAAATGTTGACCTTGCGGTGCCAAGACGCACGCTGCGGTGGCAATGTCCTGCAGGGTATCACTTGTGAACTCGAATATTGAGCGCCTATTTCTTCTGATTGATATTGTAGATCATATGCTGCGGCCGTCACTCATGAGGTGGAGGTGGAAGATGCGTCGGCTTCCCGAAGGCTCTGCTTGAACGTCTCGGGGTCGCGAACGGGGTTGAAGTAGGGGTGGGCCTGTGCTTCCTTGGCAGTAAGGCGATCCTGGCAGGATTATTAGTCACTAGTATTCCGAGTAATGATGCGCAGTACATGAGGACATACCTGGTGGTCGTATCTCAACAGCTTGTCGAGGAAGTCAATCGCCTCGTTGCTAATGAAACGTTGGTTCTCCGACGTGACGAAACCGTGCCAAGGCTTCTTCTGGAACCGCCCGAGAATATCGTCGTATTGGGTATCCAGCTCAATCTCGTATTTGTCGAGGTAGTCGAACAAGTCGTCGGTTCCAAGCACCTTAGCAATCTTGACGAGCTGATCCGAGTTACTGTTGCCATGGAAGAAGGGCTCCTTCCTGAAGATCATGCTTGCGAACATGGCTCCGAGACTCCACATGTCTAAGCTGTAGTCGTATTCCTGGAAATCCACCAAGAGCTCAGGACCCTTGAAATAGCGCGAGGCAACGCGAACGTTGTACTCTGTGCCGGGGTGGTAGAATTCGGCCAGACCCCAGTCGATTAGGCGCAGCTAGTGGCGTGAGTCAGCGACTATGTTCGACCATCGCAGCAACGTTGGCAAGCAATACCTTTCTGTTCTCATGATCGATCATAACGTTATGAGGCTTAACGTCACGATGCATAATGCCCTTGCTGTGACAGAAGTCAAGCGCCTTCAGAAGTTCGTTGATGTAATAGCGAACGTCGAGATCGTTGAACTTTGGGTACAGGCTTCGGAAGTCAATGTTGTTAACATGCTCGAAGATCAGGGAAGGCGTTTTGCTCTACAGTCTCGAGTCAACAAGCTGTCGTGGAATCGATACAGCATCCGGTCGTTGTGCGCATACCTGACTATCCCTAACGACGTCCAACAATGCGACGACGTTTGGTCCGCCTGCCAAGTTCTGGAGAATCTTGATCTCACGCTTGATCTTCTTCTTCTTAACCGGCTTCAGAACCTTGATGACACATTTCTGGTAGTTGACGACGTTGATACCCTCAAAGACCTCGGAGTATTTGCCGCGCCCTGTCACATGTCTTGTCAGTGGCCTGCCATGATAACTCGACGACGCGCATCGAGTGCCAGTAGTGGGGGAAACGCGCGACGCAAGGGAGCTGAGGGAAGCGCCATCGCGCGGGCAGGACAAACGTACCGATCTTCCTGACCACTTCGTAGTTCTCGAGAACTCCCCAGCCTGCGAAGAACCTGATCAGCATAACTGCAAGTAGATTATTGTCGTGGGTACGCCCTGGAGAGACGAACTGATGTTGACACTGTCGTAGTCCCAGTAACTGCGGGGCATGGTCTGGTTGACATCTGCGTAGACCCGCGCCATCTTGGGCTCCTGGTGCCTGGCGATTCCCGCGCAGGACTGAAGTGGCGTGGTGGTGGTAATGAAGGATACTGTGTCGCGGGAAAGAGGGGTCTAGCCCGGCTGGCGGTTCATCAACGGGGTGATGCGAGGTGGATGATCGGGGAGGGAGTAAATCAAGGTGGGATGTCCAAAATCAGACCTGGCAGCCTGGCCTGTGATTGGCGCCCGGTTCAGCCGCCCGCGCGCCTGTCGCATGCGGCGTTTCCCACACCGTGAGTCCACCCTGGCCCGCACACCGAAAGTCCAAAGCTCATTCATGATCATGTCACCGAACTTAATCTAGTTCAACTGGAGGATTGATTAGGGGATTCACTGTCGCATGCTGTTTTAAATTCATTATAACTCAGCGGAGTTTAACGCTCCTTCCAAGATCAGGATTTTTTTCTTTAAGCCTATCTGCCATACACCTGCGCAGCGTTCAAGTTGATAGCGTGACGCATCCTGTTGCGCTTGCAGCTAAGCCTCGGCGGCTCCTGTTCCCATATTCCCACCACTCTCCTTTCAAATCACAACAAAAGCGACTCCATGTCGGATGTCGTGTCATCTGAATATGTCTGTAGGCCCATTCCATTAGGGCAGAGGTTTTCGCTGGTGGGCCGGTGGTCACGTTGCCTCCATGATCCTTGAGCGCCGTAACCACTACTTGAGGCCCGTAGGCATCATTGTGCTGGACTTATGCTGTCTCCTTCAAAGAAGACTCCGTGGTGCACGCGTAGCACTAGCCCGGCATCGCCTTCCTCGAGGGAATAGCTCGAGGCCTCACGCTTGATCCCTGCACCTCGTGTGCGTCTGCTAGGTACAGGCCTGTGAAGGGGGCCGAGTTTGACTGCAGGCAGGCATGTGCCTTATTCCTAATACGACTGCGGCGTTAGCTAGGTCCGCCACGAGTGTAGGAGAAAATGAATGAGTTCGAGGTTTGCGCTCAGAGAGAAGATTATTGCTCGACATGTCCAAGCTCAAGGCCGAGAAGTCGACCAAGATCGAACCGCTCGACCTTTCAAGCTGATAGGTTCCGACTAAGGATGACGATACAATGGTTTTCATCATCGCGAGAAATGGGTTTCATAATGTAGTTGTTACTTACTTTCTGTCGCGAAGGGTGCAAATAGGAAATCGTCTGGCCAGAAGAATACCCCCGGGGAGGTGCGAGCGCGTTATTATTCTTCAGTTGAGGGTCTTCGGAGCCTATCGGTAGACACTGCGGACGACGAGATGGTGTGCGAGAATCCAAAGTATGTTCAGTCGTATTCAAGAGTGTCGAGGCCCGTTTCAACGATGTCCCAAGTTCGCTTTCGCAGATCGGGTTTCGGCTCATACGGCTTGCTCCGGGCGGATTTCTTGCCTTTCTTCCTTTTCTTGCCGGCCCCGGAGGATGCAGTCGGGGTTGGCTTTGCGTCGGAGGTTGCATTTCCACCATCTTCAACTTCGCCATCTTCAGCTTCGTTTCCGCTGGGTTGATCAACGACGGCAGGCAGCTTTTTACCCTTGCGACGTAACGTCTCAAGCTCTGAGTGACGGAACATGGCAATTTGCTCGTCGGTCAAAATGCGTTTGACGCCATCGTCATAGTAGCCGAGGCCATCATCGTCGTCTGGATACTCAGGCTCTGCATCATCCAGGTTATGAATTAGAGAAGCTTCTCTCTGAGGGTTGAGAAAGTCAGAAGTAAAGCCGCCGGTAGCAGAAATTGAAAAGTGCGCCTCATGGAAAGCGACAAGCTCATGCTGATGAGCATGTCAGTGACGACATTCAGGGACGCGGGTGTGGGACGGAGAAGATGCTTACATGACTGATCTGTGGTGGTGGGAATGGCGCATTGACAGCTTGAGGTATTCTTGCTGAAAAGGCCATCCTGACCATTAAAAAGGGAAGAAATGGACGGAACTGGTTCTGGGCAGGGTCTCACTTTATTTGCGCCGTCGCAAAAAGTTAGTGGTGCTGAGGCCAAAACTGACATTGGTGAGATCAGGTTGGTCGCGACTGGTCATAATGAGGAAAACTTGAGGTGCCATTTCCCAAGACGAGCCAGGGTCACGTGCACAACAGGTTCGCGGAGCAACGACATGGCACGAATTCGCATCTGCCGATTGAGCCCGACAGAATAAAATCTGCTACATCGCGCCGTTTTTGATGCTCAATAACAAGACTTGGCATCGAGGGAGTGAGGTGGCAGACAGGTCCATCCGCGTACATAAAAACCCGGCCCCCACTCCCATCTTTCAAGCATAAACGCACTGGCTTCATCGCAAACCTGCCTTGGTGATCAAGAATCGGTTTGACCAAGAAGGGCCAAGGCACTCTGGAAAGCTTGAAGAACTTCAGACACTTTGTCGGTGTTAGCAAGAGCTGCATGCATCTGACGATTGGGGGGGCTGAGAACTGACTGTGCTGCTGCCGTTGCGCCATGGTCTGCTCAGAAAGATTGACAAAACGCTGTCGGGTTTGAAGTCGCTTTACTGCGCGCTGGGTATCATGAGCACTCGACGATGCTGCCCAAATGTTGAAGAACTACAAAATCATGGCCCGTGTGAGTTCAACGTATCCACGAAGGACGTTGGACTGAAAATATGGTGCTCACCTTGACCAGCTCGTTGAACTCATTCATGAGTTCCTGTTCCTGGCCATCGGCATCTGTGAGAGCCTTGTGGTACCTGGCCTCAAAGTCTTCCCAGTCGAACGAGGTGAAGACGCCCGGGGTGCTGGGTGTGTTGGCCCGTCCATTGCTAAGTTGCTGTTCAGGACGAGGCTCGGGTGTGGAGATCGATTGAATTTCTTTGACATCCTGTGGGTCCCCCGCCATGTTGCTCAGGCCGTTCCGGAGAGTGGAAATGTGGAATGAGTCGTGAGATGTAGAAGAGAAGATGAAGAAGGGCGCCCTTCGTATGACCGATAATGAGGCAGCAGCGTTCGTGGTCGTTGCCTTGGTGAATCAGGTGTCGAAGCAGCGGTGACTGCACTCGAACGCTTGCTAATCCAATATTTCAGTTGCTTATTCCTCTTCCAGGATGGCTATTGTGCCGTGCAGAGTTTGTGCCCTGCGGTTGTGAGGAAGGACTACCCGATATGCAGTTGGGTCTTCGCGTTTCGGGTAGGTAATCATTGATGTTGCTCCAAGGTTTGATCCCAATGAGAGCAAATACGCTATCCACTGGGCGTCCGCTATCACCCGTAGAAACTGCTGTAGTGCTCATAGACTAAGGAGTGAGCATGTCGCTTTGCCTTTCCAGTGAAGGTATGCTGATGAGCCTATGGTCCTGACAGGCATCAGATGACGAGCATGGATTGCAATAGCAAACGCGTCCAGGAAAGCTAGCTGTGTCGGATTGCCCAATGTTCCACCAGCCCCCCGATTGAATGATTGTGGCGTCGGGACGCTAAGGACCGAGAGGTCAAGCTGAGGGTGTGTGGCTGGTGCGCCGCCGCCGCTGCCTGCCTGATGATGCACCGTTCCTTACCGCCTGTGCTGTGTGGCTGACGAATGACTGATGATCGATTCAGGTACCTCATTGATCTAACGACCCGTTCAACGTCCGCGTGACTTCATCCGCTTGACTGCCTTCGCCCTGAAATCGACCTCGTGATAATCCAGGTATAAAGGATAATCTATTTAGGGTTTTGTTGATCTCATCTCCTCTGCAAATCTCTCCCGATCCGGAAGTTCCTTTCACTTTACCTCATTGATGCGCCCGAGTCCATCGATAACATCGACTCGACGAGCAGGACCCTCAAGACGATCATCTGTTCGTCAAGACGCTCGATATCAGCACGGTAACGACAATAAATATTGATGCAACTGCGACATCCACAACATGAGCTGCGACATATGCGGAAGGTCGCATCACGCTCAGCGCCTGCCTTTCCTATGTGCCGTGGATGCCCGTAACCACTGTTATGATGGCCGTATCCAGAACGCCCTGGCACTCCTGGAGAACGAGAAGCTCCAGAAAGAAATTGGCGAAATCGTCAAGTCGTCGGAGAACGAGATTCGCCCTGGTGATTCTGCCCCGAAGCACACCATCGCCATGCGATACTCCTTGTCTGAGCAGCGGGCAGCCGAAGACAGGACCAGTCGCATCATCGAACAGGCCGATAGGTTGAAGGCCGAGGTTGCTGCTGCGCGGGCGGAAATTGAAAGCCGCAGGGCTGTCATCGCTCGTCGAAAAGCTGAGCTCGCATCTGCGTCGAATGGCCTTGCGGCACGTCGAGCCCGTCAGCTGGAAGACACCGAGAGGTCTATCCAGTCTCTCAATTTCAAGTGGGAAAGGAGCGCCGACGGCATGGCAAGGACCCGCGCCTTCTTATGCATGGAAGCGGCAAAACTCTTTGGACTACGCCGCCTGAAGAAGAGCAACTCTCCGTCTCCGTATGAGTACCGCATCGGATCTGTGACCATCACGGACCTTTCCTCAATGCACTGTAAGTGCTTCCCGTTGTGGTTTTCGAAGTGACTTGTTTGTACGAATATCGGCTGACGATGAAAGCTGCTTCCCCCGAGCAACTCTCAACATGGTTGGCGAACGTTGCTCACATTCTATCACTGGCGTCCTATTATCTCGCCATCCGACTGCCTGCCGAGTTAACTCTGCCACATCGCGACTATCCACGGCCGACAATTTTCAATCTTGTTTCGTCGTATCGCCATGATGATGTCGCCTTCCCTGGTACTTCACCCAACTCTCATTTCGGAGGTGGCCCAGAAGGCAGCAACAACAACGCCCCGCCTGGTCCGCGACCTCGGCCGTTGTATGTGGACAAGACGCTACCTGTGCTCGCCAAAGAGGATCCAGCAACGTATTCTATGTTTCTTGAAGCGGTGACGCTGCTTGCGTACGATGTCTCATGGGCTTGCTGCACGCAGGGTGTGTCGGTTGGTGATCGCAGCGCCTTCGAGGACGTCTGCCACATTGGCCGCAATTTGTATAACTTGCTCATTGGCCAGCAGCTCCTTGGCGTTCCGACCGGGAAGAGGTATCCATCGCCTGGCTCTGTCGACAAGAAAGATGGCCAGGAGGACGCAGCCAGCATGACATCTTGGGTAGGCCGCTATTCCCACGGAACGGCTCGAAATTTCCTCGGCGGTGCTGAGGGAGCGGACTTTGTGAAGAGCATCAAACTTCCTGGTCCTCTGAAACTCGCAGACAAATTGAAGACAAAGCTGTCAAGCGAGGTGACGGCACCAGACTGGGAAGTCCTTCAAGAAGATGCTTGGGCCGAGGTGGAAGATGAAGCGGATGGTATAGACGCAAGACAAGACAAGATGAAAAACGGAAAGGTCGCAGGTGACTCGAACAAGGAACCCAGAGCTGTCTCAGGCTCAGGAACAAGTGGTTGGACCAAGGTTAAAAGTCGATAGCAAAGCCCCGACGAGGCCCAAACAGAGAATGCCGTGCGGAGGACATTATTATGGTCCGATGCCACCCATAAGAAACAAGTTGATTGCGTGTTGACGTAGAAAATACGGGCGTGCAGAAACGGAAACGAAGACGAGTGGTCGTGATACTGGTTCGAGAGTAGGTGTTGCTTACTTCTTTGTTTTTTTTGTTGCTTTTCTTTCCGTGGACTTCTGCTCGTGGTCACAGGGCTTTCCCCCTCGTACGACTCAGAAACGCCCTCATAGTGAAGCCTAGTCCTTGAGCTTCTCGTCAAACCCCTCCTTCGTTTCTTCTCTCTCCGCTTCTACAGCACGGCGTGAGGCAAGTGCCGCGTCCAGCCGCTCCCGGCCAGCCAGTTCCGCAGCGTGAGCGCCAGTGACCTGTTGGGCAGTGAATCGACTCTTTCGGGGTGCAAAGAGACGGCGCTGGGCTATCTCAGCTGGGCCCTGCTGAGGAGGAGATAGAATGACGACGGCGATCGTGGTGGCGGGCGTTTTGCGAGCACGGTCCGGATCATCTTCGTCTTCGTGTGGTCGGGGGCGGGGTCGGTTATTAGAAGGCTGCGGCGTGGCCGGCAAAGGGGGCAGTTCGTCCCGGGCGGTACGGGGAGGGGGGTTGGCGGTCGACGGAGAGGACTTTGCCTCTTTCTCGTACTCAACCTTTCGGCCGGCACCCAAGTTCACCTTCCGCTTTGCAACAGTATTCCTCGATACGAACATCGCGTTCGGGTCCTTTGGTTTGCGACGTAATGGCTTCTTTGGTCCAACGGGAGTTTCTGGTGCAGGCGGCCTCGGAGATCCTGACGCTATACCCGGCTCTGACTTTGTGCTCGGCTCCGGGACCGTCGTGGCAGGAATGGGAGCAGTGATCCCTGGTACGATCTCAGGCTGGCTAACGGACTCGCCAACTGTGGTCATTTGGCTAAGAGATTCAGGCACTTCTTCTGGAGACGCCACGGTCAGCCCGGCCGGGACCTGTCCCGCGCTAACCTCAATGACCGAAACCTGCGTTTTGATGTCGTGGCTTGGAATTTCTGGCTGTGTCGGGTGGGGAGTGTTCTCAAGAAGTGTTGTTAAAGGTATAGGGGGTATTTGAGGGCGATCTGGCTCTGCAGGGATGGGAGTGTTCTCCAGAAGTGCCGTCAAATGTATAGGGGGTGTTTGAGGGTGGTTTGGCTCCCCAGGGATAGGAGTGTTCTCGAGGAGTTCCGTTATAGGCAAAGGTGATGTCTGGGGATGGTCTGGCTCTGCAGGGGTGGGAGTGTTCTCGAGAAGTGCCATGAAATGTACAGGGGTAATTTGAGCATGGTCTGGCTCTGCATGAATGGGAGTGTCTTCGAAGAGTCTCGGTATAGGTATAGGTGATATTAGAAGATGGTCTTGCTGCATGACATCTAGTGCAGTAGGCGTGTCGTTGCGGCAGACTTCCTCGCTCATATTGGCCTCTTTACTTTGGTAGACGTCCATTGTGGAATACCCCACAATGGGTGAAAACCCCGTTTTCAGAATCATCGACTGCTGTGGGACGGTAACCGAGACCTCAGACTCCATCTCCGCGTTTATCTGAACGGGAATATGTTTCTCGGGCACGCATATCAGACTAGCGGCGAAAGCCGGCTGCTCTTCAAGGCCGCACCGAGGTGCGTCATCCATTTCCTCGTCGTTATGGTCCGTGGAAGGAGAGCTTCGGTTCGGCTTATCGCGGAATATGTCGAATTTAGGTTGGTCGAAGATGACAAGCATTTCTTCGAGGCTTGAAATGGCGGGCACCGGGACGGTAGGAGCCGGAAGAGGAGGGGAGATGGGCACAATGGCCACAATCGTCGTGGGAGGAACAAGACTGAGAACAGGATCGGAGCAAATCTCCGGAAGAAGTATAGCCATGGTTACAGCCGTCGATGCCGATAAAGTCGGGATATGCTGGACGACCGGGGCGAGAGGGGCAATTGACGCGACACGCCTGACAGGGGAGAAGGCGAGGGTGGGTATAGCGGCACTCGAAAGTGCCTCCCGAGCCATCATCGCCTCCATCTCCTTGTTGGCTTGCTCAAGCTCCCTCATGACAATATTTCGTTCCAACGTCATTTCCAAAAGCTCAACCTTGAGAGCATGCTCTCGGGCTGACGGGCAGGGGTAATCGGGCACAGCTGGACCTGTGACCTTTTCCTTATCCTGCTCCGGGCTCATAGTATGAGAGTGATGGGAGGATGAAGGATCGGCTGTTGCGTCCAGGGCGTCTTGGACCCCAGGCTCTTGGTTGTCGATCGGCCTAGCGAGCAGAACGGCGGATACCTAACAGCCATTCCTTTCGTCGAAGGCGTACCGATCAACCAGGGGATAAGCGCCGGGCGTCCCAGTGACGGACCACTCGTTTGGAGTCGCAAGCCAGTTCGAGACGGGTCCCATGATGTCGGCTAAGCAGTTCCTCATCCTTTGGTATGATACAAAGATCAGGTGCAAGCACCATAGCAATGTAGCCGGAAGGGTCGCAGTAATCATCAAGGATAGCACGGATTCCAGGAGATACCAGGTCGAATCGATGGCTCCTTCATATGAGGGATGCCTGTTCCTTCTATTGTGAAAACTTAGCAAAATCTCTATCCCTGATGCTGGAAGGACGGTAACGTACAAGAAATCGAGCCAACTCTGTATAATGGAAACTTCATCCTCGATCACCATCCAGTTGGTGCTCACAACATGACGACCAGTTCCGTAGTACATGTCGGCATCTGCAGTAATGGCGGATGGGTGTGGATACTTGGTCTCCCAACAAAGTAGGGCAACAGCGATGTAAACGATAAAGCCATGTATCTCGCGAATCTCGCGATAAGAGCTCATCAGGACGAGGCATGCCGTCGCCACAGCGATGAGGGCGTAAGAAATCATGGGAAAGAGCACGATGGTTCTTCGGATTGAATTGATATGAGAACGGGAGAGTGAGAAGTGATGGCCCCTGATGAGAGACTCGTGAATGATTGATGGAATATCTGATGTGGATGAAGGACGTTGTGGAATTGGCAGTCGATCAGAAGTTTTGGACAAGTGGTATTGAAAGCAGAGAGAAAGAGAAATTTTACAAGCCTTCGCAATGTCTTCCGGTCGTGAGCCTTATGGCTTCTTCGTAGGTCCAAGCTTCCAAAAGTTGCCTTACAAGCTGCGAATATTATCAAATGGTTCTCACTAGGTTACCTTCGTGGGGGGAGGTGCAATTGTAGCCTGGCTGGTAAGGGTCCCGTCATGGGCTCGACGAAGTCACGAGGCGAGAGTAGGATGAAATGTTCCTGAGCCTTGAGGATCTGGGATAGTATTTGGCACGAGGTTATGCGGCGTTTGGTCTTCCGGCGGCTAGCGAGATGTCCCGCGCCGTTCCGAGCTATGCATACGATATCGCCTTTGTTTGCTACCACCAAATTCCCTTGTCATTCCACTGTATGCCTGCGAGTTTTGAATAAATGTTCTTAGCATGGTGTTCGTTGATAAACCTCATCCATTGGTCTTGAGTGTAACATCATCTATGGAGTTCATTGATTTCTGTCATGATGGATGGCATGGAGTACTAGTAATGAACACATTTTCTCTACTCTGAGCTTCATACTGCCTGCTCGCAAAGGGTGCGGGCTTCTATCATGTGAGCAGGCAGTACTTTCGGCCACTTAGCCTAGCCAGCTCCTCGATAGACTGTCGTGGCGAGTGTGCAACCGGAATCTTGTGGGTGTGAAGGGCAGGGCTTATTATGCACAGTACGAAGTCGTCGTCAGGGAGCTGAGCGATTGATAAATTGACCAACGTCAGCCTCGCTGCTGGGATCTCAGAACCATGAACGTCAGGGTCATATGGTCAAGTTGAATGTCATCAGGTAAGTGCACGTGCGCACGCATTCGGAATAAACTGCCTTGCTTCCTGTTGAAGGTTCAGAAACGTAAGAGATTTGACCCGGCCGCGCTCGAAAACCCCTCAAACGCAATACTATTTCCGTCATTAATTCATCAAAGGGTATCCCGTCCAGAACCATACGCTCCATCCAAGTCTACTTCCTGCCCCTGGCAATCAGCCGCTCATGAAGATCAACGACCACATCGCTCCACGAAGGGGAGTCGGCCAGCCTGTCAACAACCTTTTCACCCAGGTGCGTGGTAAGGAATTCTCCCATCTTGCCTGTGTTGAATGTCTCTCCATATACGACTCTTGCGTCAGGCTGGATGACAAAGTCGAGTCCATCAGAGGTGCTCACACCGCGCAGACCAAGCACAATCTCGACTCTCGTCTCAATGGCCGTCAGCAGAAGCGACGAGCACACGGAGATGGAAGAATCAGAGGTGCGCGTGACGGACGTGGGAAAGGTCATGTTGACGCGGCGGATGTCGTCGCAGGTGGAGACGGCTCTGTCCCATGCCGCACGGATCACATGAAGCAAGTCGACAATCTTAGTGCGGCTCTGCGGGAGACCCCGCACATGGTCGCGGATGCACTGCACGAAGAATTCCTGTTCCACCGAAGAGGTTCGCGGGCTACCGTCGCCGTTGGTCGCGATGTACCAAAGATCGATTTGCGAGTTCTTGCCTTGGGTGCTGCCGAAGGCAGATATGTTAAAGACAAGTTCGATGCTTCGTCGGTACGTCATGGAGACAGTCGAGTCGGCAATGCCGGAGATGGCCCAGCCGTGCTGCTTTTCAATGGCATCAACTCGAGCTGGGGATATGGTTAGCATGAGGAATAGCTATGAGAGCAACATCCAAAACTAACCCTTGAGTGTAGAGATCTCACTGGTCGACCAGCCGCGACATTCCTCGCGAATCTTCTCGGCCTCCTCAATCTCCTCTTGCCATGCCCGCTTGCGAGCAGTGAGCTGCTCCACAGTTGCTTCTGATTCCTCAAGCTGCGCTCGGAGTTGCACAATCTGCTTAGTCTTCTTCTCCATGTCACTATCGACATCCGCGAGCTCGGATCGAACAGCCTCGAGCTCGGATGGGTCGCAGTCGGCCAGTTCCTGTGCCACAGCTTCGAGGTTTATTCGCTCTTCGTTGAGCACCTCAAATCGAGAGATGAGGCTCGGAAGAATGGAAGACAGGAGCTTCTGTTGCTGCTCAAGCACCTGGTCGTCGGCATCCATGCCTTCTGCTATTCTGATGAGGCCCTCCTTGAGACCCTCCTGGAGCGCCGTACGCCAGGCATACCACATCGCCTTGCTCTCAAGTCGGGCATGCGACTTGCCATTCTTGAATTGGTTGTCAAGCACATTCTTGATCTCTGGTGTCGCAGACATGTACTCTCGGAACAGTGGCGGGTTGTCTTCAAAAGTCTCTGTTTCAATCTCGCGAACAATCCTCCGTCCTTCGGAAATGTATTTCTTGAGTTCACGGCAGGAATGCTGGTAAAGCTCCAGCATCGGAACTGTGCAGGCACCGGCGACGACGCATCGCTCCAGAGGAAAGTTGCCCTCGTCGTCAATCAGCCCATCCTTGAAGGCCTCGGGCGCCTGGGTGTGGCGCCGCTTCGTTGTCGTCAATTCCATGAAGCGAATCGATGTCATGTTGAGAAATTCCTGGAGGTGGATGCGATCTTCGCCCTGGTCAGTCTGCAAAGACGACTCATCTTTGACGGGCGATCGTTCAAAGTCCATCAGATGGGTCGCCGTGTCATCTTCGATGTCTTTGAACCGGGTCTGTCCTCTCGGGGTCGTGGCATTGCCACCATTCCTCGAGGACAGCGCCGTCAGAGTGGGTGTTTGATGTTCCTGTGTTGAATCTTCAAGGCTCTTCTGAGACGATCGTAGCGATCGTCGGCCAGTTGTCTCGGCTTTGCTGGGGGGCTGTTGAAGCCTAACGTTCTTGACCGGGCTCCCCTGGTGATTCTTAAGTCTTTTGACACCATCATCTGCTTCAGCTTCTTCGTCATCTGATAACTCAAATGGTCGCTTGCCGAGAAGACCTTTTGCGCTGCCGACATGAAGACTCTTACGGCCCTTCAAGGGCTTCCTCATTGGGCTCATGCTTTGGATCATTTCTTTCAGGTTGAGCGTAGCCTCCCTGTCGTCTTGACCGTCAACCTCGCGCTCAAGAATCTTACGTTGGTTCTCCTTCTCCTCTTCCTCCTCGCGGTCGTTGTCGACTTCGAATTCCATGACGCGGGGATTTGCGAAGGAAACACCACGGTTCTGGCCAGGCACAAATGCCTGAGTAGCATCACTCAACGACTCCCGACGGTCGAAAATGGCAGCCACCTTGGGTGATCCCAAGCCAGCTCTGTCAGCACCCACGCCGGACAGACGGCGCGTCTGTGGCGTCAAAACAACCAACGGCGTCCTAGCTCCCGTGCTGGGGTCTTGCTGGAAAACGTCTAGGTTCTTTTTGGCCGATTTCACAGGCGAAGGGGTCGCCGGCTTGCTGTCTGGTAGCCTCGAGCGGCCAAGCTGCTTCGTTCGCGATTGCGGAGTCCTCGTAGGTGATGAGACTGGCTTACATGGAGACGGCGTGGCTTTTGTCGGCGACGCCGATTTTGACCTCGCTCTCGCTCGCGACTGCGCGGTCGACTTCTGCGGGCTTGGAGTGGTTCTCAAAGGAGAGGATTGCGGCGTTGCTGTCCCTGGACGTGGCAAGCTGCGTCGAAGAGCGCTGCCACCGAAAGAATTTGTCTCAGGAGTTCCTGGAGCTGACATTATTGTTGGCTTGGTTGAAGCGGCAAGCCGTTGTGCTGGCGATTTTGGGGGAACACCTATTGATCCGGCTTTTGAAGGCGAATCTGGCTTGTCGACCTCCTCTTCCATGAACTTCTTAGCCTCACTGCGGGACTCTGGCACATGAGGACCCTTGAGAATACTGCCCATGGCGACAGTCATGTCCATGCCCATAGTTTGGTCTTGTTCCACGTTGTCTTCGTCGTTGCTGGCAGCTGGCAAGATACGCCCAACACCAATGGTCATATCCATGCCGACTGTAGCATTTCCGTCGTCCTGGCCTTGGGCCCCAGCCACAGATGGCAAGATCCGACCAACACCAACGGTCATATCCATGTCCATGGTGTCGTCATCCGGGTTCTTGCTGTTGGCCGAAGTCATGGTTCTACGCCGAGTGGCAGTGGCCTGGTTGGTGTTGCGTGCCGGAATCAGGCCGCCGATGGCTGTTGTGATTTCCATTGACATGTCTTCATTCTCGTCTGGTTCGAGATCTGGCACACTCCTCAGAATACCTCCGAGAGCTTTGGTAACTTCCATGGTCTCGTCCATTTGCATTGTTTCCTCGCCTTCTTCCCCATGCTCGTGTGGATTGGCAGTTTTGTCCCTAGGTTGCGATAAAATGCCGCCAATGGCGCGAGTTACATCCATGGACATGTCGAGCTCTCCGTCGTCTTGTTCGTCATCTGGTGAGGGAAGGATGCCGCCCACAGCTTGGGTCATTTCCATGTCCATCTCCATAGCGCCATCGTCTTCGTCAACATCGTCAGCCGGGGGCGATGGCGGCTCGTGGCCTGCGTGCTTTCCAGCTTGAGGAGCATCACTCTTGTCGGAGTTCTTCTTGATCCAACCAAATGATGGGATGACTTCTTCTTCGCCCTCAGAGTCGTCGAGGCCCAGTTTCTGGGTGCCGGCCGTGCGCGCTGCCATACGAAGTGCTTCTTCCAGTGTGTCACTGTCGCCAGTCGACGACCCTGAGCGACCAGACATGGCAGACATGACCGATGCGCCAGTGACCTCGTGGTCCTCGACCGTCATCATCGTGCCGTCGTCCACGTCGGAGTCATCATCAGAGTTGGAGTCCTCCTCTTGTTCGTCATCTTGAATTTCTTCCACAGCATCGGCAGGCTCCGAGTCGGAGCTGTATATTGACGATGCCATCGTAGGATCATCGTTGTCGCCATAGTTCGCGGCTGGGAGGGCAGAGCTTCTTCTTCGTTTTCTCTGATGGGCGTCCCTTTGGTCTTCTGGTGATTCTGGCACCAAACCGTCAACCTGCTCTTGTGACGTTCTGGATCGGCTCGAAGCTTTGTCGTTGGTGCTAGGTTTTGAGGATGCGCGCCGCGATGAATCCCTGGATGCCTCTTGCATGAAGTCGATTTCGTGAAATGTGTGCAGTGTTGCTTCGGCTGCAAAGGACACTCTACGATTCGCCAATGACTTTCGGCGCGCTTCCCTTCGGTCCCGTTCTTCGCGCTGTCGCGCCTTTGCCTGTTGCTCTTCCTCTGTTCGCAGCGCAACTTTGGCGCCGGAGGATGCATCTTGCTGGCTAACGTGCACGCTCGGTGGCGTGTCAATCTTTGAAGGGCCTGAGCCTTGCCTCTTAAGGGGCGGGATTTCAGGAAGTGGCGCGATTGCTGGTTTGAGAATCGATCGGGGAGGCGGTCGTGAGGGGGCTGCAAGAGACTGTGACATTTTAGTATCTTCAACTCATATCGCGACAGGGGGCATGGCACATACGGCTCTTCGATTACCGTTGGCGTTCTTCAGAACGTCCAGGCCGCCAGGCCCAATGCTCTTGCTTCGCGACTTTTTCCGGTTGGCAGCAAGAGAACTGCTTCCAAGATCAAGTGTCACGTTCTCTTTCTCTGTAGGCTTGACTGACGATATTTGGCCGCCAATAGACTTGCGCAGTCTGCGCGTCGCTGGAACTGTCGCGTCGCCGGAAGAAGACATGTTGAATGCTGTAGGGATGAGGCGACAGCAAGCGCTTCTTCTGGTGACGAGGATTCGAGTCGCGTCGAGGTGCAATTGGGAGACGATGTTAGTGATGATGGTGTCGCGCATGCCCATGTTCAGTCAAAGTGGGCTGCATGTACAAGGGTTTCCTATGTTTACATCTGACAGGCCCCGTGATTGGCTGTCTCGCCTGCTGGTGTCAACAAGGTCCACGCGTTGCTGAGGCATCGGATTTTTCCGGATGCCCCACCTCTATCGATATGCTCCAGCCCCATGTGGCCAACTAAACGTGGCGCAGCCGTGGCTTGCCCCTCGCCAAATTTTCCACCCACAGGCCCTAATTCTTGTGATCTCGAACCCAGTCGCCTACCTCAGCAAAAGTTGTAAGCCGCATCATCGTCCATCGCCCAACGCCCATCAATCCGCCGACAACCAGTTGAGGTGATTACCTTCCCCCACGACCGCCAGGTAGGTGTCGCGAGCATACCAACCTATCGATCGAACCACCGCCCTCTCTGTCGACACCGTCCTGACTTGTCTTTCTACAGAGCCGTGACCGATCACTACCGACAACATGGCTACCGAACTTACCGTCCAGTCGGAGCGCGCCTTCCAGAAGCAGGGCATCTTCCTCAACCAGAAGACCAAGGCCAAGTCCACGCGCCCTGGAAAGGGTGGCCGCCGATGGTACAAGGACGTCGGTCTGGGTTTCCGCACCCCCAAGACCGCCATTGAGGGCACCTACATCGGTACGTCGGATCGTGATACTTGGAAAGATTTTGAAGCGCGAGGGGGAGCATGCTTGGAGCGTCGAGCGAATCACTGTTTCTTGCAGATGAATGCGCGCAAAGGAGCCATGGTCACACTGGAATTGGTTTGAATCTCTATGCTAACATGGACGCGTCTCTCAGACAAGAAGTGCCCCTTCACCGGCCAGGTCTCCATCCGTGGCCGTATCCTCACCGGCACCGTTGTCTCCACGAAGATGCACCGCACTCTCATCATCCGCCGCGAGTACCTCCACTTCATTCCCAAGTACGCCCGTTACGAGAAGCGCCACAAGAACCTCGCCGCCCACGTCTCCCCCGCTTTCCGTGTTGAGGAGGGTGACCAGGTCACCGTTGGCCAGTGCAGGCCTCTGAGCAAGACTGTATGTTGCGACTGGAACGCAGCCGCCAGGCTGATGCCTGGCTCTACGCTAACAAAGTGCAGGTCCGCTTCAACGTCCTCCGTGTGCTTCCCCGAACTGGCAAGGCGGTCAAGAAGTTCAGCAAGTTCTAATCGGCTCTTTGGCATTTACGGCGTGTACGCGGTGAGGGTTCTGCTTTACGCTACCGGATGGGCGGTCACCAGGGAACGGCATCCGCATGATTTGTGCAATAGATGCAGATCAGACCAAAAGAATTCGATCAGCCAAAACCAACGGAAGATGGTTTCGACATGTGAGGCACAACGGTTATGGATTGTTTGACGACTAGGACCAAAGGGTGGGAGAGGCGGATCTGCGTCGCGTGCGAGCGCGCGCACCAGGCCATGGTCAACTCCTTTTTTTGGGGAAAGGGCGATCTGGCTTGACGTGGAATGACAAAACGACGGCTCGTTCATCCTCGTCTCGCCCCTCTCGGTCTGTTCGTGTGATGTAGCGGCTGGATATTTGACCAGTACGCATGTGAAGTCAGTTCCCATGACTATACTCCCCTTTTCACCCCACCCTTGACTACACTCTGAGATGTACCTGCTCTCCCGTGGTACAACCCAATTTTTGTCTCAAGGAATATGAATGCCTCGGCATGGCGCATCACTCACCGCGACTCCATCGTTCTCCGTGGAGGGCGAGGTCCGTATATCGTTGTCAACACATCTTCTCCATCTTTGTATCTTTTGCGCCGAGTATCCTTTGAGGAGAAAAACGCTCCAGAAATTATATGCAAGCCTCAGCCACAAGACGACTGTGCTGACAGTTGCCAGTATAGGTCCATATTTGGGTCCTGGCGTACACGGCAAGCTTATAAAATACGTGAATGTACGCAAATCTTCACAACCGACATCTACAGACTTAGATTGAAAGTGAACCTAGTCAATCGAACAATAATTGAAATATCCAAAGATTATCTGGCTACAGTGCTAAAGAACAGTGTGGTGTGTGGATTCACAGTGCATTTGCAGATTCAACAGTAGCTGATTGGCGATTGAAATCTTTCCACCCAAAGAACCACCAGCAGACCTAGGTACGGAGCTACGGCGAGAAGCGGAGCGACGCGAACCAGCAACCGCCAACAAACGATCTTTCAAACGCAAAACACATACCATAATCGAGATGGGCTGGCTAGACGGCTGGTGGACGGACGCGCCCAAGACGTCTGATCCTCTTGCATCCATCGACCCCAAAGTCCGCGAGTTCCTACAGCGAGAATCCCCTGTCAAGTACAATACAGCCTCCTCTACGCCATCAGAGACGAAGCCTTTTACCGAAGTCACAGCACCACAGGCACCAGTCGACGACTCCGTGAGACCGCTTGTACCGAAAGAGAGCTTGTTCCAAGACGGCCGCTACGCGCACCTTTGGAAGGGGTACAAACCACAGGGCGAGATCGAGGCCGAGTCCAAGACCGACCATGAGAAGCTTATGGATGTGCTGGAGGGTTACAAGGACCGAAAATACAACCTTGGTCGCGCGGCACTCGAAAATTGCGCCATACAGCAGGAGGAGTGGATCAACTGCATGAAGAACGGTGCTTGGGAGGACCGGCTACAGATGTGCCGAAAGCAAGTACAACGGTTCGAGAGGTGCTATACCATGCAAACGGTATGATTCTAGTCCTCACCTTTCAGGTTTGCGCTCTACTGACTGCGGTCTACCACAGAGACTATTAAAAGCGCTTGGCTACAAATCCATCGTTGATCGGCCGGCGCATGTCGATGAAGACATCCAGATGCACGCCGATAGCCTGTACGTCCGGATGATCGACCAAGAGAAGGCGATTAAGGGGGCAGAGGAGCGCGGCCTGCCGGCGCCAGAGTTCAAGAACGTTTTCCCCAAACCAGAGAATGCAATTGAGCCCGGCGCCGAGCTGCGCAAGAGCTGGGATGAGCAGCTCGACAAATTGCCCGCAGCGGAGCGAGCGACAGAAGAGGCGGCTCTGCGAGCTGACTTTCAAGCGAAGGCGGCTGTGGCTAAGGACGTCCAAAAGTTATGGGATGAGCAGGCCGCGGCGCGCAAAGCGAGAGAAGCTGGGGGGCAGACCAGCATCGCCGAGAAGGTCACGGATATCTTTCGGTTCAGGTAAGGTGTTGATGAAGACCTCCTGGGGTCCAGAAAGGTCATCCCACCAGACCTGTAAGCAGGCCGTCGCTGGCGAAATCGGTGGGAGACAGGTCTCGCTGTACAAAGCTTCAGTCCCTCATGAGCCAACCATCATGACACGATCTGTACACACTCGGAATGTATGACCTGTAAAATATTGTAGATCAAGAATTTGCAGCGAACGAAGGAGCAGTACAACCGATAGCGCCCCATGCTAACATTTACGTCCCGTCCTCAGTGATTCGACATGGTGGCACCTGCGTTCTACGTGAGGCAAATGTCGTCGAGCTGAGAACTCAGGAGTGTGTGCATTGACCCAGCACGATAGAGGGCAAAAGGCAGAGAGCATGGCAGCTCGCAAGTCTTCCATGGCCAAGCCCAAAGAATAGGAACAGAAGGTTATCAGGCACCGTAGAGAATACTAGTATCTTACCTAGTCACTAGCTGGGACAAGCTTGGGCAGCCAACTAGTCCACTATACTTGGCCCACTACGGCCACAGCGGCCATGCCTGTAAGTTCACTGTAATAAGTAAAGCACCTAGGTACCCAAAATGGGAAAAGTGACATGGCTACTATGGCCGCTGCCTATAGACGTGATAGGGCCAGGATTGAGTTCGTGTTTGTGATATACATAGAAAGTACCTAGGAAGAGGAGTACATGACACACCTACGATAGTTTGATCCAACAAAAAATCGAAAAGAGTTTTGGCCAAAAAAGCCCCGCGACCTGCCATAGAGAGCCTGGCTGGGCCATCACAAGTAGCCATCCAGTCTTCAGTGCGCTGGGTCCGCTGATACACAGACCGACGTGCCGACTCTGACGTCGACGATGGTACTACACTTTTGATCACGCATCTTACGACAGTGATGTAGTTCTTGCTAAAAACCTTTGATGAACACTTCAATTCTCTTGCTCTTGAGTTTGTGTCTCGCTACTATTCCCTTCTAGAGTTTAACAGCAGGACTCCTCACAGCCGCAGAGGCCGCAGCAAAGTTCACAACCGGCCTCTTCTCCTCCACGAAGTCCCAGCTCGACATCGGGCTGCGGCTCGGCAGTCTGTAAAGGACATGGTGTCAGAGAAGCACGCTGTGTACAGTGGTGTAAAACATACAGGCTGGCTGCTGATGACCTCATCAGCGGAAGCTTCCATGGGGGCCTGCTGCTGTGGTGCGTCTTGCGTCGCCATGGTGTCGATGGTGTAGTGAAAGTTGCGATCGGCGACGAAGGTGTCGTTATTTGGTTTCACTGAGGAATTTCGGACTTTTTCGATGTAGAATACACGAATGGTTTTGGCTCAGTAGGAAGGTCATTTATCCTTCAAATGTATTCAGCTGCCACCTTCAGGCACCCACAACAAGCTTCGACCGCGTCGATGGCAATGACCCAACGAACCTTGCTATTTTCTCTTTTTGGCTGCCTCCCTCTGGTGGCGCTTGACTCTTGGAGGCCGCATTATCATACCTGAGCCCACGTGCAAGGTTCGAGGCTATAGCTCTGGCGCCGTTGTCCGGCAACACGGCACTGTATGCTAATAGGGGCTGACCAGTTCTCACGAGAAAGAACGTGGATGATCAGGACGGGGCACCTTGTCCAGCACCGATTCTAGCAATCCCATGCCCAAGTTGTGGTGACGTAGTCGATCATGGCACTTTCTGCGAGTCTCAGCTGGTTTGAAAGTTGCCGATAGAACCGGATGGCGTTGCACGAGCATCAAGTATACGTGTTAGCTGACGACGCAACCTCCACGAAAGCCACACCGCGCTTCCATTATACGGTGGACCGGTCCAGATTGGGACCGAAGCGCAGACACAAGGGCGGCTGCGGCCTTTCGGGTGCCGGCCGGCACTAGATTGAGGCTGAACCCTCGAATCCAGAGTCAATTTGAAGTGCCGTAATCGCCGAATGCACAGCAGATTCTGTGCCGGTTTGCCAGAAGCACCCAGCCCCACGCCCTTAGTCCAGGCTCCAGGATTCTCACAGCCATACCGATTGATGCCATCAGTTTCATCATCTGTTTTCCAAAGCCAATGCCGCTCTTTCGAGAAAGGCATTGAAGTCCCTCAATTGTCGAGCTGTGCCGCCAACATCACTCTTGGTGCATGCTTGGTCGGTTATTCTGGAAATAAGGAGCTCAAGGTTTGCCAGATTGGCTTTCTTCTCAGCCGCCGGCGACAAGTCGTCGGCGCCACGACCACGCTCTACGGCGAGATCAATATCGTGCATGGCTGTAGAGGTACCGAGTTGGTGCTATTACATCCCATTAGCCACGCTTTTCCCTCTGCAGCTTCATGGTCCTATGACTTACCAATGCCTCACTTCTCGCTTTTTCGTGTTTAGATCTGACAGCTTCTTTGCGAACAGCGACTTGTTCTCGTTCTGCCCGGAGGCGCATAATCTCGTCTCGCAGCGACGTCTTCTCAGCCTGTTCGCGCCGTATACGGCCGCGAAGAGCATGCATGTGGTCGACCTGGATAGTCTTGCCAGTTGTCAGTATTGCTGGGCCAAACGGGTTCGAGGCTTCCCTACATGTCCGAGAAACCTGTGCTCCAGCTCCGCCTGGAATGCCTCTAGTGCGCGAGTCTTGATGCGAAGTTCTTTCTTTGCGGATGCATCCGGGGCACGTTGCACACCGTCACGCAGAGTATTAAGGCTAGTTTGGATGAGTTCATCGCACATCTGAGCGAGAACATCAATCGTATTCACACCGGACCGTTTTGAAAACGGGATGTCGGCACTGATAAGGTCAAAGTCGGGATCCTCGCCTTCGGCCGGTCGGCCCCTCTTCGTGAAACGCTGTACTGGAATCTCAAAGACACCTTCGTCTGGGCTGTCCACCGCCTTGGGTTGGCGGGCCTTGGCGGTAATTTTAGGCTGTGCCTTTGCAGGTTCCGATGTTGATGTCACCGAGATCTTCTTCTTCCGGCCTTGCCTCTGCTTTGCGGGACTAGCCTTGACCGTTGTTCTTCGGCGTTTGAGTACTGGCTCCTCCGGTGACACCTCTTCGATGTGCTTGTCCTGCTCGACGGCAGTCGCGGACTCCGGAGATGGATCTCGCACCAAACGGCGAGAACGTTTCCCCCCGAGCCGTTTAGCTGCCTCCTGGTTCGAGACCTCTTTCGCTAGATTGTCTTCTTCATTGTGCTGTTCCTCCTCTTCAACGACAGCCGGCTGTGTTTCAACTTCCTCTTCAGGCAGAATGCGGGATGAGAGCTCCGGGGAAGGCCCAGATTGTACGATGGGTGATGTTCCCAATTGCGGAGATGATATTTCTGGCGACCGCGCGTCGGCCTGCGCTGCTTCAGACCCAGCGCTAAGAGGGCTTCGCCGCTTGCTCGGAGTTCGTGTCTTTCGTGTAATGCTACCAGATGTCCGTCGTAGCCTTTCCACTAGAGGGGATGACAGAGGGTCCGCATCAGCGTCGTCGTCTACCACTGTGTCGAGTATTTGCTGCAGCTTTATGCCTGAACTGAGAATCACCTCGGCGGTTCCGTTATGTCGCTTGCTGGTGGCTGGTGCTGTTGCCGGGCTTTCTTCTATCTCTTCGCGGCGGGTTGATGTTCTCGACGCGCGTAGCCCTGCTGACGAAATCCTTTCTGGCTGCTGAGAAACCGGCCCATCGAGTTCGTCGACAGGCGCAGTAGCTTCTGGCGTCGCAATTCTTGGAACTGGCGTCGCATCTGCCGGCTCTTCGCGGGCAGTGATGGCAAGCTTCTCTGTGCTGGCTTTGGAGCGATCATCTTGCCTCTCAGAGCTTGTTCCGAGTCGCTTTCGCTTCGCGGATGTGTTGGGCGTTGACCTTGTTGCTTGAACGGGCGGGGTCGGTGCGGGAGGGTTCTCTGGGCTCGTTGGTGCGACTGTCGATGTTGTCTCGTCACTGAGCATTAGCTGGAAGGACACTTCTTCGACTTGTCCATGTCTTTTTACACGTCAGCAATCCCTAGAGAAAAATCTGGTCCAGGCCGGGACGTACCCGGCACCACGAATGCGCTGCTGCATGCGCTCAGCGCGTGCTATCGAGGTTGAGAGCGTCAGCCATGAACATGAGTGTCCTTCTCGGTAAACTTACTAGCCATGGTGACAACGAATTCAGATTCTACATGAAAAGATCACTGAAATAAGAATCTCAGATTTTGGTCATGATCCTGGACGAATCGAGATAGAACAGGGGTCGTTGGGCGTCGACTTGGAAGCAAGTGCTCAGGAACGGGACGCGTCGCATCGGAAGTGGGGGACGCGCCGATAACACCTTGGCTACACCGAGCTTACCGAAACTACTGGTACAGACCACAACAGCACGGAGCTGCCCCAGAACGCCCCGCACATTCGTGGGAAGCTGCTACTTCAAGTCATGCAAGGAAACGAATTCCCCAATATTACATGCAGAACTTGTGTCTTAACACGCCCTGCACATCGGACAACTCAACATGCCATAGATAGTCTCAAACAAGAGCGTTAGCGATAAATCGGCATTACAGCCTGATAGATGAACAGACAGTTCTGAAGCAGGTTGACGTCAAGCATGCCGTCAGAATAGACCTTCAAAGGGCCTCGAAAGTGAACCATTAGGCTCTCTTGGTGTGATTTTGTTTCGCAAGTCTATACAACCAGTACCCTATAAGCATGTCGAGGTGCCGTTAGTAGCTGACTCAAAGCTTGTAAGATGCGATACCGTAGAAACTGCAATATAGTGGCATGACAAGTAATTCTCATCGCTTGTTTTATGTGTACATGAATTGTTGAACAAGAGTAAGGAAAAAGGTAGACCCGCTATGGAATACCGTGGAATAGATTGCGCATGTAGCCTCCCACAGAGGATTGGGTAGAGAGCACGCGAACCCCCCTGTACCTACGACTGAGACGCAGAATCAGAACACATCATGAGAACACGCACATCTGCGAGAGCCGAGAATCTCTTTCGCGGGCCCTGCCAGGCTTCCGTTTCGCTGCCACTCGGATTCCACCCCTCAGTTGTCCCGCCACTCTTGGCCACCCTGGACTCCACTTGGGGATCCGCCTCGATTGTTGCTGTTGTGACTGGCGCTCGACGAGGCAGCGGGAGTATCATCGTCGTCGTCATCGTCGAGCACCTTGGCAAGCTCATCAGGGTCTTGCATCTTGGCATCGGGATCGACGATGCCGCCATCATACTCTGCCCTCTCCCCGCGCTCAGCTTCTAGCACACCATCATCAGCACTGACGGAGATGCCCCTCGCTCCCCACTTGGACCGGCTACCACCACGTCGGCTTTCGTGACGACCAAGCGCAGGGGCGCTCTCCTCATCTTCCTCGCCATAGTCTTGGTTGCTGGGCTTGCCAAAGATTCTATGGAGGAACCAGCCACGGTTGAGGTCGTCGGCATCGACAACACCACCATTGCGAAGCTTGACCCGTTGGCGCGTGTAGTAGACCCAAGCAAAGTCGACATAGAGCGCTGTCTGCACGATGCCGAAGACGACCGAAACAGCATTGGGGGGCTTGTCCGACAAATCGAGTTCCCGACTAATCCATCCAACAAGGTAAAGAGCCCGATAGGAGCCCAGGGCGACAAGGTAGAACGAGTCGATAACGGTCGGTACGGTAGTCTGACGCAAAAGGAGGAGCTGGGGTAGGATGCAGACAGACTCGAGGATCTGCGAGAAATCCCAAATCCACTATCGGTAGGTGTTAATTGCTTGCTGCCACAAGCCATGGGGACACACATACCACAAACATGCTCCAGTGCGACTTTGGCTCAAGGATAAGCATGGCGAAGGGGGAGAGGAGCAGAGCGCCGCCGAGGGCGCCAGCGCCAACCTTCCAGGCCATCTCGCGCTCCCTGGATCGGGGATAGATCCACTGCATTATCCCAATAGTGTAAAACGACGAGAGAATGTAGAAGGCCTTGAAGAAGCGGTTCCAAAGCACTTGTTCGGAGAAGAAGTCGGTATATCTCGTACAAAAGACCAGGGCATACAGCACCTGGGTAATGAGGGAGACACCTGAATATAATTGTCAGTATGCTCTAGCTTAGTCGGCATCGGATCAATAGCAGTGTACCTTCAGCACTCCTGTTGCGATGGATCGAGAAGAGGAGGATGCATTTCGAGGCAAGGTGGGAGCAGTCTCCCAGCAATCGGAATACCTAGGCACGCATCAGACTAGCCACACTATGGTGTTCGCATCGGCCAAGTCTCTACTCACGTTCCAAGCTGTCATTTCGTATGTCGGAAGCTTGATGAGAACACGGAGTCGACTTTCAATGGGTGTAGTTTGAGGTTACGATTGCGAAACAAATGGCCACGGTCACATCACACGATGCGGTGCGCCGCAGGAGTATGATCTAGGAAAGTAGACCGATACAGCTAACGAACCCGCCGTGTTCTTTGTACTCGTCGTTCGTGTAATCGTCGCAATCGTAGATTTCGTTGCGGTCGTTTGAATCGAGGCTGCCTAGAGGGATGTAGGCAGTCAAGATACCTTAGCTACCTTGTGTTGCGTAATGCGGTTGAGTTGTCCCAGGCACGGCTGGGTGGCTTGGGCCAGAGTCTCCCCTCTCCGTGGACGGCCACCTGGGCGACAAGCTTGGGTGGCCTTATCGATGACAGTACCCACCAACAGCTATCCGTTCTAGGGGTACCTCTCAGAGGAATGAACTCCCACCTCTCAATCCAGGGGATGTGGCGCCTCTTGAGGTGGCTAGGCCACCTCATCACAGTGCACCCCAGACAGGTTGAACAACCTCCTACTGTGTGAACAGCGGCCCCAGCGCTGCGCCCCATAAGGTGCAAGGGCATATTCTGTCATTCCCCGCTCCTGCGCCTTGGTACGTAGCCGTAGGCGCTCTTGAGTATCAGTGCCCTTCCTTCGTAGCTCGAGTGTCAAAGACGATAACCCGACGTATCCGCACCCCTACCACCTCGGAATAGCTCCACATGAAGCCGCCCTGCATGGCCTTGATCTCATGCTTCAGGTCCTCGCATTCGCAAGTATACACACAGGTTTCCGTCTCGAACAAGCTAAAGTATGATGGATTCTCCACTAAAAATTGCGAACACTCACGCCTACCACCCTTGTGTCGCCAACAATGCCAATGATGCCTGAGCTTGTTCATTCGGCCCCACGCCCGAACAATTAAGCTTACAATGCCCACAGTAGTGACTCCATGTCTTTTCCATAGTACATGTAGATGTATTCATCTATAGATGAATACATTTAATAGCAGGTGAACCCGGTAATTTGATGATAGCGGCCATCAGAATTGCCTTGGCCTTGGCAACTCGTTAGTATGGTGAACGGCAACAGACTTGGCATGGACGACCCGTTCCAGGTACAAGGCAGGTAGTAGGAGAGGACCGGAGAGGATGGAGCGGGATCAGGCTATGAACGGTCAGAGTGATCCCTGCCGTGTTCGCTGCCAACCCTCTCTCCGCAATCCGTCAATGTCTGACCCGCAAATAATACTGATGACGATCCGTCACGCGTCTTCTGGGTCGGCATCGATCCTATAAAGACGCGTAGTCTCAAGCTCAAGTTCTGAAAGCGACATTGTGCGCCAAGTTGGTGTTCAATATAGCCCATTTCGTCTACAATGAGGCTCGGTCGGCTCCCTATCGCGCTGTCAGCGTGGTTGGCCCTGGGAAGTGTTCCTATCGCGATTGCGGCCGACGAGAGTCTCCATCGTCGTCAGGCCCAAATTGGCAAGTACTTTGGTAAGTTTTCATAGTCTGTATGTTCCTCAGCCCTCCGAGAATTAGTTCTTACTCTATCGTAGTTGAGTCTAGGTAAGGTGCCCAATGCAAAACCCCCGGTGATCTGCGTAGCTAATCGTGGAATGGACTGGAAGCTTCAGTGCACACTATGATGGCAGGTTCGCGACAAAGCGGATCACAGATGAGAAACTCCGACGAGAGGCGTTGAGAGTCCTGATACAGACTTATCTGGCCACCTTTGAGAGCATTGGCATCGAGACATGGCTCATGCATGGAAGTCTTCTGGGGTGGTGGTGGAACAAGAGGGTAACCGCCTAGACTCCCAGATAATCCTATGTGCTCTTGAAATCAGCTAACGCCGAAAAAGGTGATGCCATGGGACGATGATGCCGATGTCATGGTCTCCGAGCCCAGTATGTTTCTACTTGCCGCGTACTACAACATGACAACCTACTACTACGAGTACCCGGCTATTCCAGAGGGTCGCTCCTTTCTGTTGGACATCAACCCTCACTACCTGGTTCGAGACAAGGGAAAGGGCCTGAACTCGATAGACGCGAGATGGATCGATATGGAACATGGCCTATTCATCGACATTACCACCGCAAGGTACAATGTCACATACGGGGAAGGTGAGGGTGTGTTGGTAGGCAAGGACGGTCACCTGTTTCGGGACACCTATCTGTTACCACTGCTGGAGACGACCTTTGAGGGTGTTAAGGCAAAAATTCCTTACAAGTACAAGGACTTTCTGATATCCGAATATGGCAAGGAATCCTTGTCGGACAAGGAAATCAATAAGTAAGACCCTGCCGAACAGTTACACGTCCACATGTTTCTAACAACCACCACAGCCACCATTTCGATGAGGACAAAATGGAGTGGGTGCCTACTGGAGAGCTCTAATGGCAAATCAAAATCTACTACGTTTGTTAACGCATCCAGCATGGCTGTCTGTGCAAAGCGAATGCAAGTTTAAGGACATGGAATGCTATCATGCGTTCGCCCAGTCTGTTCGTGTTACGGATCGCTGTCAGCCTCGCACCCGCCAACTACCTCATGCAAGCCAACTCACGGAGTTCCTCATGCCTCATCATCCTCCAGTTGTGTCCTAGCCTTTACAAGGTGAGAGAAATGCCGCCATGAAGTGAGCCAAGGTGTTTCCAAACCGTATATTCCACGCTTGCAGAAGACTCGTGCCTGTTGTGCGTCACCTATGAACAGCTTCACGCCGTTCTACACACTAGAGAGAGAACACGCTCCGAAATAGGATCAACGCCGTCGCAGAAGAGTCTGCCCCAAACCCCTAACCTGCTCCCCCATTATCCCCGAGCCCATGTCCCACCAGGACATGGTAGTAGTCGCCGGTCTCGAGCGTGCCCGGCCGTCAGACTCCCAAAGGTATAACGTATATACAGAAAAAAGAGAAGAATACAGAAGGCTTTTTCAAGCCGCAAATCGTTTCTCGAACTCTTTATACAACTTGGGGCTGATCTCATCACTGCTCATACCCTCGACTTCCCATAAGACGCCCTTCTTGGCGTAGTGCTCCAAGAGGGGCTCGCTTGTCTGCTGGAACTTTCGGAACCGCTCACGGTAGACCTCCTCAGTATCGTCGGGTCGTTGCATTAGAGGTTCGCCGGTGATGTCATCAATGCCGGCCACCTTGGGCGGATGGAAGGTGGTATTGTAGACACGGCCCGAGGGCTCATGAACCCAGCGGCCGGCGATGCGCTGCATGATCACGTCGAAGGGGGTCTGGAGAGACACGACAAGATTGATTGGAATGATCTTGTCGCATGTCACGGCTTGCGCGGCAGTCCTCGGGAACCCATCCAGAATGAAGGAGGCATCAGGGTCCTCCGAGGCCTCAGGGGGGCCGTGTGCATCCAGAGCAGCCGTGGTAACGTATTCGTCGTGGGCGTCGGGGAAATCCCCAGCAGTGGCTGTGCTGGCGGCCAGGGTCATGACATTATGCTTGGCTTCGTTGGGACGCAGCCAACCATTCTTGTACAGTTCGTTCGAGATCAAGCGCATGATAAGGTCGTCAGCGACGAGGCCGCCGGTCTTCATTGTCTTCTCGACTCGAATTCCTGTTGAAAGGGTAAGTTAGTTGGCGCGACACCGAGGCACAGTCAGGCGAGTGACTTCGCAACATACCAAGAGCCGTCCGGGCAGTGACATTGCTTCGAAGTAGATCGCCCGTGCTGATGGACTGAAGTTGGGGAAAGCGATGTAGAAGTCTCTCGGACTGGGTGCCCTTGCCAACGCCTGGCGCACCGACGAGGATAACGCGCGCTGCCTTTCGGAGTCTCATATTATATTTTCGGTGACGGATCGATCCAGATTGTCCAAAAGATTGGGAACAAGATCTGTGTTGGGTTGTATATAGACGTCCTGTAAATGGTATCCGAAGTATCCGACTAAGAAAGGGGAAATGAGCGATTCAATGTAGCTTGAGGTGCCGAGGTGGCACGGATTGACGGGAGGATAGATCTCGTGGCTCGTGAAATCGTCCCGCAGCGCGGGGTGAAGTGGGAAGAGTTGAAGGGTCCGTGGAATGGAATGACGAAACCACAGGATTCAAAAGTCGGGCGGACGATTAAAAGATGATCATAGTCGTGAAAGTCTGACCATATAAGATGCGAAAATCGACAGAGATATGGGAGGCGACAGCGATGTGACGCGAGCGGCTACGAGAGGCCTAGAGTTATTGCCGAGGAGTAGATGTCCCAAGGCTATTGTGAGGGTGGTGAGGATGGGGACCGCCGCCCTGGGAATGTTACTAATGTACCAGGGAATCAATTGTTGGACTGGTCGGATGCAGTTCTGGGGGCAGACCAAGCACGGGCTGCATCAGTGGCCCTCATGTTGAGTGGTGCGATGCAGTGAGAGTGGGGCTGAGACACCCTTTCCCACTGGCCGACTGGCCTCTCAGCGCTAGAGCCATTTACTGGCTGATCTGATCGTTGAAGACTCAATAAGGTAAGGTACAATGACACGCCAACAGTCTGTGCACGCTCGATTTTCAGATAGTGGTAGAGATTCCCGTGTAAGCCTGAAATTCAGCAGCTTTAATTATTTCGTCTTAGAAAGCTTTTGCTTAGTTAATTCTTGATACCCGTACAGCCGGCAAGGGGAGTCTCTGGACAGGATGGACGTGACTGGCCTGGAACCCCCGATACAAGGCGAGCACGATCTTGAGAACAGTGTAGCTGAGATGGAATTTGTGTTGAGAAGTACACTTGGGCCTCACGTCGAAGGTATTGTGCGGCGACGCTGCTTCAAGTGAGTCTTCGCTCATTTTGCGAGAGAACCAGAGATTCAAGGCGCGACAATTGTCGCTTAGAAGAACGATATCTAATGCAAACACTACACGAGCCGATACGGCAAGGGTACTATGCAGTTTCTGCTTCGGACCAGCAAAACCTTGGATAGCTGATGTATACGTGGAAGTGGTCCACTCACGTCACCTACCCCTACCTGTACCTTAGGTGCCTCACGGAAGGCTTGTGACAACTATGACCAAGAGTGCTATCGCACGTGAGAGACGTCGCCTCTCTGATCGGCCGATGTTTAGCCACATGAGTGAGTGTTCGGTTGCAACACGTAACATGCTGCTTACGTCAACTCGGCCCCGGCATTGAGCCTGCCTAATTGTGGGTAAGCCTGGCGAGGCTAGCGCCCCTGCATTCGCTGTGGAAAAGTTGCGTTGAGGCAACGAAAGGGAGGTCTCGGAAAGTCGGAGCTAACAGGAGGGACCCCAGTCAACCCCAGAACTGTAGACGGAAGTCGCATCTCACGGAATCTTCTCTCTCTCCATCCCTCAACATCCTCCATCAGATCAACGGCCCTTCAGCACGCAATATCACCCATGAACAGCGCAGCTCGATAGCCGTACGCTTCTCTCTATCCAGCCGTCGCGACATCAGGACTCGTTCCGATTATGAGCGCCTCCGCCAGCGTTGCCCGCCGGGCAGTCGTTGCGAACCCACTTGCTGGGAACGGTGCGCTTCATTCAACCCCCGTCAATTTGTCAAATCGCAAGACTAACATCATGTAGCACGCGCTCTCACAGGCCTAGCTCTGTCCCACGGATCTTTCAACAGATACGCCCGACACCTCCCCCGCAAGACTTCAGCGCTCGCCATCCTTGTTCCCGTTCGCCACATGAGCACCGAGCCTCATAACCAGAACCAACCGCATTCTGGCCCGCCGCCTGGGTTCAATGTCGATGCGGCTAAAAAGCCTCTCGCTCAAGAGGCCTCATCCGTCCCCAAGAAGGATCAGAACTCTTCTGAACAGAAGAATGCACCGAGCAACAGCGCTGCAAGCTCATCCGAGATTCCATCGAAGGAGGTTGAGCTCGATGCCGAGGGCGGAGCAGGTACCTCTGTGAAGCAGGGCGTTGCGGTTGACGCTAAAGACTCCAGGGAGCAGAAGTTGACGGTGTGGCAGAAGGTGAAGAAGGAGGTGCATCACTACTGGGATGGCACTAAGCTCCTCGCTGCTGAGGTCAAGATCAGTACCCGACTGGCGCTGAAGATGGCTGCTGGTTATGAGCTCAGCCGAAGAGAAAACCGCCAGTTGAAACGCACCGTTCAGGATCTGGGTCGACTGATTCCGTTCTCCGTCTTCATTATTGTCCCCTTCGCCGAGTTGCTGCTTCCCGTAGCCCTCAAGCTGTTCCCCAACCTGCTTCCCAGCACGTACGAAGGACAGAAGTCCAGGGATGCCAAGGTATCGGGCCTTCGAACGACAAGAAAAGAAGTCAGCAAATTTCTACAGCACAGCTTGAAGGAATCTGGCCTCCCCGTGACTCCGGCAACCATCCAGCGGGAGGAGATTACGACATTCTTCCGGAAGCTCCGGTCTTCGACAGAGACACCTACCCACGAAGATATCATCAAGGCGTGCAAGATTTTCAAGGATGACTTGACGCTGGATAACCTTTCCAGGCCTCAGTTGGTCTCGATTTGCCGGTACATGAACCTGAACAACTTCGGTACGGACAACATGCTCCGTTACCAGATTCGCCACCGTATGCGACAAATCAAGAGAGACGACAGGCAGATTAGCTACGAAGGTGTCGCGTCACTCACTTCTGGAGAGCTGCAGATGGCTTGCGCCAGCCGAGGCATTCGCACCCAGAGCGTCTCGCCCGCCAGGATGCGCGAGTACCTGCAGCAGTGGCTCGACCTTCGTCTCAAGGAGGCAGTACCCTCAACTCTGCTTGTGCTCAGCAACGCATACATGTACGGCCAAGGAGCCGGTGGAGCGACGAGTCAGATCGATGCTCTCGTTGGCGTGCTTTCCTCCATTCCGGATGAGCTTCTCCACGAAATTGCCCTCGAGATTGAGACATCTCAGGGCGCTGCCACCAACAAGCAGCGTCTGGAGGTCCTCAAGGAGCAGCAGGAACTGATCGAGGAGGAGAACGAGCAGAACGAGGAGAATGCCAGCACTGGTCTGGCCACGCCTCGTGACATCGAGGACATTGACGAGAAGGAGGATGCGATCGCCATGGAGGCCAAGTCAGTCAGCCCCGAACAGGTGAGAGAGGCCGCCGAGGCAGAGCAGGAGATGCTTGACGCTAGGCGATCGCAAGAGGTGACATCCAAGAAGAACGAGTGAACGCCGTTTGATACTGCTTTTACCACTACGATACACGCCTTAGCAGGCGCTTTTTCTTTGTTTTAACACTTGTAAAGCATGGAGTGGGCAGGCAGGCATGTACCACCAAAATGAGGCGATGACTTGGGCGGTCTGACAGGGACCGAGAGCAAGCAAGCAGTAAAACTGATAGAAGCCCCTCCTCTGGAAAGCAAAGATAGAATCCCACTTTTGTACACAATGGCGGCACCAAATGGCCTGGATTGTACCAACAACAGACAACCTTTGATCTCAGGAGACCAATCTCAATTTTTCTCTAAGTGTGCAAACGGCGAGCTAACAAATTCAACGCCCTGTGGAATCTTCGCAGCGACCCCAGTGCGCTGCTCACCATCTACGCATCTGGAAGCTTTCGTCATAGGTCCAAGGGAGGATGAGAAGTACAGGGGCGAATGGCTGGAGATAGCGGAGTACCTTTGGCAGAAGGCTAAGATTGCAAGATATCCAACATCGAAGCCTTTTGATCTTACCAAAAAGTCTTTGAATAGAAACCAGAGCTCTTAAAACACTGTTGAGCAAGTCTGCAAAGCTAAACCACTTCCCGTGCTGTGAAAATCGATGCCCAATGTTGTGGCATGATGTACTCATATATCTGGTTTAATGGGGGGGTAAGGCCCGAAACAGGCCTGCAGAGCGGAGCGTCAGTGCTTCGAGCTGTCCTTGCGGAATAAGGTAGCGTCGTCACTGTCCTAGGAACGACCAACAGGCAGCTACCACCGCAACATCGCAACCAGACACCTCGAGTCAAGCGTTTGTCTGGTGCTACGTAAATCTGCCCCCGTCATACTATTGCGACAAATGCTCTACCTGTCCTGACGCATTTCCTCGCATCACGAGCAACTCTCCGGCGACGCCGAACGTCATCCTCATCTCAAGGTGAACGCGCATTAGCCCCACCGCTACCGCCTGGAACGACCACCTTCGACACGATGGCACGAATTGAGCAGGAGGACTTCTCAAGCGTGTCCTGGAATAGTGAGCGCGCGGCTGAAAGACGGTTGTCCCAATCGCAGGCTCCTCCTGCGGGCGATGCGCCTGACAGCAATGGCTACCAAGGACAAGAGGCCAACCACCTTGACGCTGGATTGGGCGAGGAGGTGCTCGAATGCACTGTTTCGCAGCCGTTGAAAGAAAATGAAGGGTCTAAGGACGTCTTCGTATCGTATCTTATATCCACTTATGTATGTTTGGAGTCCGAGTAACTGCGTCGATTGAGGATGCGCTTTCTGAGCGCAAGCGCTGACCATACGCCTAGTCTACCTTCCCAGCCTTCCAAAAGTCGACGAGCAATGTTCGTCGAAGGTTCACAGATTTCGTCTTCCTGTTTAAGCAACTGAGCAAAGACTATCCTACCGCAGCCGTCCCTCCACTGCCCGACAAGCAGCGCATGGAATATGTCCGAGGGGACCGCTTCGGCCCCGATTTTACCAACCGCCGAGCGCACTCTCTACAGCGATTCCTCGCCCGACTATCTCTGCACCCTGTACTTCGCCGAGCTGATATACTGCACATATTTCTGGAGAGCCAAGAATGGAACGCAACCATGCGCTCTCGAGGCTCACGGGGTTCTCAGAGTAGCGATGGCGCCAACAACGGCGTGTTTGACAACCTGACTGAGTCGTTCATGACAGCATTCTCCAAGGT